CTGTTATTAGATTTTAGAGATTTATGTGGACTTTATTTCAGGTGTTGTTGTTGTTGTTAAGTGCCTCCGAGTCGGTTACGACCCATAGTGACCCTTATAGGGTTTCCGAGGAGCAGCTGGCGAGTGTGAACCACTGAACTTGCAATTCAAGTGGCTTTGCAGTCTGGCGCATTAACCCACAGAGCCACACCAGGACTCCCATTTCAGGTGTAGTTGGCATGAAATACCAAACAACAACAAAAATGAAACCACCAGGATAAGTCAAAAAGTGTTGCTGCTAGGATTTCAGTTCATCCATGTGATAGAACAGGGATGTAAGGAAGGAGGGCAGACCCAGCACCCTTCACCCCTATCCCCCTAGTAACCACCAACAACCACAGGTAGAAGAAGAGAACTTAATAAGGAGACAAGAAGAAAAGCCTATGAGCTATGAGAACATCAGACATGGACATTTTAAAGAATAAATACTTTTAGACAGCCATGGTAGATGTTTGTCTCACTGTTTTTCCGATGTCTGTCTCACTGTTTTTCAGAGACAGACCCACTCGCCTCCCGGGTACACTTTCAGTTTCTATTAAACCTGCTTTCTCGCACTCCTGTTGTCTTGCTCATGTCTTGCGTCCCTGAACCTCACCCGAATCTGGAACTCTTTGCTAGAAGTCCAGGAGATTTCCCGTGGCACATTCGGTAACACATGCTTGGATGTATTTTAAACAAAATTTGTTTAAACATGTCTCTTCAGTTTGTGGATGGCTGCAGACAAGTTCTTTTGGTCATGGGGGAAAAATGATTTTGAGGTCAGGGCTAATACCAAGTTTTTAGAACTCAAGTGGACATTGTCCCAAATCATTGAAGCTTTGCAACAAGTTTACAGGAATGTTTGCTCCACACGAAACTGCCATTTTTAAAAATGGATCATACATGTTAAGGAAGGTTGGGAAGATCTCAAAGATGAGCCGAGAGGGAAGACTTGTCAACATCAGTGCATGAAGAAACTGTGGCTGAAGTCCAGAAACTGATGGAAAAAGACTGTAAAATTTGCCATTGATTGGGATTTAACATGACTGTTGTTTGTTGTTGTTAGGTGCCATTGAGTCGGTATATTTAACATGATTAGGCATTTTCAATTTTAAGCTGATATCTTGGCATTAGTGAATTGATTGGGTGCCACAGATCAGCTAATTCAAAGAGCCAGTTTTTCCATCTCTTTTAAAAGCAAGATTGAAGCTAATGAAGATGGTTTTATGGAATGAATCATAACCAGGGACGAGTCTTGGATTTACTAATACGATCCAGAGAGCAAGGTCTAATCCAAACAGTGGCTTCTTAGTGGATCTACTGAGCCAGTCAAATTCAAGGCCGAGAGGTCAGATCAGAAGGTTATGATTCATGGTTTTTGGGACTCCAAAGGAGTAACCCGGATACATTTTTTTCAAAGGACACAGAACCATCATGGGAGCTCATAATGAATACGTTTTAAGACAATTGGAAACTCCATTGGTGAGAAAAAGGCAAGGAAAGTTTTACTGAGAATTTTTTAAATCACATCAATATGTCTGTGCTCATTTTTCGAGGGTAGCAAGGGTTTTCCTATGAGAATTTCCCTAGAAAGCTTTACCTCTCTACCTATAGCCTAGATCTTGCCCCTTTGGACTTCTTTTTTGTTCTCAAAACTCAAAGAACATTGAAAAGGAACATGATTTTGAGTCCCCCAAGGATGCCATAACTGCTGTTTTGACTTGTTATAAATCTTAGAGCACACAATATTTGGGGGGAAGTGTTAAAAAGTACATAGAGCTAGAATGGAGGCTATGTTAATATTGCATTTTAGCATTTCTTATAACATTTCAAACCGTTTCATAACGCTGTTGTTATGTGTAAGACTCCACTGCCATCGTGTTGATTCCAACTCATAGTAATCCTGTAGAACAGAATATAATGGACCCAGAGGATTTTCTTTTTAATGTTTTATTGTAAATTATGTGATAGTTTACACGGACGAACATTAGCTTTACATTCATCCTATCATAAATTGTTTCACTGCCATGGTTACAATCCCTCCTTGCAACATCAACCAACCAAAGGGTATATCCTGCAAGCCTGCCCCTCAGTCATCAGCACACAGCTCCTCTCCCACCCTGGGTCTAGAGTTCCCAGCTTCTCCATCTTTCCACGTCATCGTCTCTGCCTCCTTCTCTGGCGTCACTGCCTCTCTGGGTAGGGTCTAGTTCTCCACTCTTTCCTTACCTCTGCTCCTAGACTGCAAAGTCAATCGCTCCCCTCCTTTTGCTAGAAAACTTTTACCTTTACATTTCCAACCCTCACTATCTATCAGTCTTGATAATAATTACTATTGTATTGCAAGAGACCTATCCCCAGCTCCTTTCATCAGCCCCACCCAGACAGATTGAATTCTACTCAGTGGAGAGTCTACCTTGCTCCGCTCTCTCTTGAAAGCTTGTAAGCCAGTCATTTCTTGCTTTTGTAGGCCCCCCCCCTCCACCCCCCATTTTGGGTAGCCAATGTCCAAGTTGGCTATCCCTGTTTACCATCCCTGTCTACCTTGTGTACGGAGGGTGTGGGAATCATCCTCGCTGTAAAGATTTATTCCCTCTTTTGAGCTACTGCATCCATAGGTGTAGATCAAGTTCATCAAATTGTATCAGATTACTCCTTTTTTCCTCTTCTTTCTTCTTTTAGTTGAGCTCTAATCATCCAGTCAATGAAGCCAGGTCAAGTGGGTATTATCCGCAAGTGTGGGTGTTCTTGTGCATATGCCCTCTCTTCTTATCAGCTGGATGCTTCACTCTCCACTCTAGTCCTCTATGGCTATGTCACTGACTTTGGGCCCTAGAGTCCCCAGGTCTTGCCACACTGCTGACCAGCTAGGTCTCCACCTGGGTTCACAGGAGTCGATTGAATGTTGTAGGGCTTAGCTCGTAGCTTCATTGCTGTTTTTTCCTCACTTCCCCCCATCGATGACGAACATGGTCATCAATCAGAGTGTGTACTCCCACTGAATCTTAGTCTTAGAAAGGGGGCTTGCTGTGAAGGGACCCGACCACTTACCTTGATGTCTCCTGGGCAAACAACTTTCTTCTTCTTGTAGTAATCTGTCAGTCTGCCGTTATTGTTTTGTAGACCCAGAGGATTTTGAGACCGTAGGTCTTTAGAGGAGCAGACAGCCTCATCTTTTTCCTGGGGATTGATGGGTTAGTTTGAGCCGCTGTATATAGAGTTTTTGAGGAGCACCTTGTGGATTTGAACTGCCGACCTAGTGGTTAGCAGTCCTGGGATTATCCTATAGCACCACCAGGAAATAGCCTGATGAATTTAGTTTTTTAATCCTAAAAACATTAACCTTTCCATTTGCAGTCCAATGAGTAATCTACTATGCCTTCTTAGTAGACTACCCAAAGCAAACCAAACTCACTGCCAACATGTCTGTCAGTAGGCTACAGTACAGTGTAGACGTAACGTTTGTATGCATTGGGAAACCAAACAAAATGTGCTTTATTGTGGTGTTTGCTATATTGTGGTGGTTTGGAACTCAACCTGTAATGTCTCCAAGGCAAGGTATGCCTGTGTATTCGAAAAACTTTAGTACTGTTGACAAAGATTGGATTTGAAGACTTGGAGATTTAACATTCTGATGTGGATAGCCCTTACACATTGGTGATGGGGTAGAATGCTTCCTTTGTGGTATGCCTGTTTCTACTTGGTAGTAGTTTCACATTCAGTAAAAGAGACTATAGTATATATTATAGTATAACCATTGCATGTTAATTTGAGTTTACTGCAATGATATCTGTTGGGGTGAGAATTAAGAACATTGAAGTCACTTTTGACGGGTATGCAAGGAAGCTTCAAAAAGTTTGAAAAAAATTTCATTATCTTTTAATTCCATTTCTCCTCAGATTTTCTGAAGCCCAATGTATTATATAGGGCATCTCTGATTTACAAGTAAATAATGTTCTTTTCTTGATAAGTCAATTTTGAAGGCCTGGAATGAACATTTCCCCTATAGTTGCAGTGTTATAAGTGATGACTGAGTTCTTTCACACAGAATGGTACACACTCTTAAGTGACTATCAACGTGTTTTTGAATCTGTCTGAATTTCCATTTCCTTTTCTTGAAGTCCTAGTGGGCCATTGGTTTGAAGTTGATTGCTAAGCACTTGGTTGCTAACGAAAAGGTCAGTGGTTTGAACTTACCAATCACCCTGTGGGGGAAAGATGTGACACTTGGTTCTGTAAAGATTTACAATCTTGGGGCGACTATGGGACACAGTTCTGCAGTGTCTTGTAGAGTTGCTATGTATTGGGATGGTTTCAGTGGCAGTGAATTTGTTTTTTGTGTGTGTGTGTTTGTGCGTGCATGATCATAAAATGGGGGTAATGGTAAGGATAACAATTCCTACCTCATAGAGTTTTTTTAAAGGATTAAACTAAATAATGCATATAATGTTCGTGGTATAATTTCTGATATCAGGCAAGTGTTTGATAGATGATTGTAGCATCATTTCTGTAACATTATTTCTTGGGAAAATGCATCCTGAATGTCATCACAGAATGCTGGTAGGACATCAGTCGTGGAGGAAGCAAGTTCATAGAGGGTCAAGTCTTAACACTGGGACATAAGGGATGTTAGAAAGGGGTGGGGTGGGTTCTTTTGCTGGAGTTTTGCAAGTTGTGGTTTGAAAGGATGGGCTAAAGAAGAAAACAGACCATGGTTTCCTTGTGGCTCTCTGTGTAGGTGGAATTTGCCTAGGGGAATGAGCTGGGAGGGAGGTTCATTTGTGTGGGCAGGTTGGCAGATGGGACTTCTAGTTGCCTGGCAGTGACTGTAACCACGTCACTGGGTTGTAGGGAGTGGAGGTTAGGACATTTTGTGAAGCAGGTCAAGGCCATTTGGAACTGTCATTTTTCCAGTGGTGATAAGAACACAGCATGCAATAATGTTGCTCATTTAAATTGATCTCTTTTTCTCTTTCCTGCAGCAAGAGACTATGGCCAAAATGGAGGTGAAGACCTCACTTCTGGACAATATGATTGGAGTTGGCGATATGGTTCTTTTAGAACCTCTCAATGAGGAGACCTTTATCAATAACCTCAAGAAGCGCTTTGACCATAATGAAATATATGTGAGTATATACTGACGGTCACCTGTAGTATTTCAGATGAACTTTGTATTTTGTGCCATAGAGCTGGCCTTTTGTCTTCAGACTCTTCCTCTTACTTCATTAACACCCACAGGTTTATCCTCAGAAAGAGTTTTGTGTGTATGATGATTTGACTCATGAGTAATATCGATTAGAGTCAAGTGAGTCTGCTTTCCAAGTGGCATTTATAGAGTGTTGACTGCATGCAGAATGCTGTCTGGAATGTCAGGGACATTTGAAAGCAAAGAAAATATTTAGCTTTGTCCTCCAAAGAATATATTTTGAGAAAGAATTTTGAAATTCATAGACATCATCTTGGATGTATTTGTAAAATTAGTCAAGTCTAATCCTTGAGAGAAGCTACTGATTATAATGCAGGGCAATAAACTGTCATAAAGAACATGAACTTATTGGCGTTTTTAGTTAGAATGTTGTTGTTGTTCAGTGCTGTAGAGTTGGTTCCGAATCATAGTGACCCAGTGTAGGGTTTCTAAGAAGTGACTGGTGGGTTTGAACTTATGACCTTGCAGTTCAAACTGACCTTGTGTTCCAGTGCATTACCCTGCAGTGCCACATCAGGACTCTGTACCTTCGTTACTATAGACAGGAAGAAAAACTTACCAGATAAAAATATGTGTTTGGGCTCTGGAGATTTGAGGATAGTCATGTCCTGCTATAAGAAAGCTTGATGTCATATACAGCAATGAAGACATATACAACAAATATGTACATTATCAGTGGAGATTTTTATGTTATAAAAAAATATTGATAAAGGATTGTATAGTGTTACTATCACTATTAACTTCCCTAAGTATATTTAGAACATGAGTATAAATGCATTTACATACAACATTCTAGGAATTTGCATAAAGTACAGAAATTTGCATTTGTGGAAATGGAGGTATGTTATTAGTTAAACCAAGAAAATGCAGGACATTGGTCCCTGTTTTCAGAGGCTGAGAAGGAAACAGAATGGATTGAATAGAATAGTTTTAGTAGATTTTGCCTTGTGTTCTCCTTTCCCCTTCTTACAATGTATATCTGTGTCTCAGGAAGAACTGGATTATTGGGACATGCTTTACATTTTTCTGTGTGTGAGCAATAGGAGGAAATACACATAAAGGAAAGAGATTGTAACTGATTCAAGCAGGAACCATGATAACTTTTGTGGAAGTATTGTACTTTTAAAAAGCTTGTCTACAAAACTGTATTGTTTATGTCACATGTAGCTTTCCTTTCCAGACATCCAACCATTTCTCAAGAATAATTTTGTGTAATTTATGAAATATTTACCATCATCTAGGATGGAAGTATACACCCTTCTTGATTTGTATTGTTGGAGGGGTGGGAAAGGTTGACAGTAACATGAAGTATGAGAATACTACTTTTGGAATACTAATTTTCCACCATCCACTAAACTGAGGTGTAGTTACAGTTGAGAGATGTAGTTCTTTAAAACATGATTCCAATGGAAAAGGTTTATAAAATGCTGCTGTAGAGCAGGGAAATGGTATTGTTTGATTTGGCAACGAGGCTGGGTGTCACCTTCCCTCAAGTATAATAGTTCAGCTTTCAGGTGGGAAAGCTTTGACAGTTCTGAAACTTTAATTGAAAGTATGGTCTGCTATCAAACAAAAGATAGACTTTTAACATTGGTCTTTGTGATGGAGATAGGAGGAATCAGTTATAGCATAACTAACATTACTGATCATTTTTCTTTCTGGCTCTAAGAAGTACAGTACACTTTTAGATGAATTGAAAATAGGATGGAGAGTAGAACATTATGTGCATTCAAATACCTGATTTGTTGTGACCAATGAAAAGAAAACAATCCCCTTTTAACCAAATGCCAAGTGTTAACATTCATGAGTCTTTAGCAGACGAAATGTCTGGGCTTTAGTCCTACCTAATTTCGTTTCCTAAACTATTTTAAGAATGCCCTTTTTGCTATAAAACAATAGGAAAAAATTGCTTTCTGCTCCAGATAGTCATATCAATTAACATTTTCCATGAGGTTTTAGGACTACCATTTCTAGGAGACATGTGCCCTCATTTCATAATCGTAAACACCCGTTGTGTTGGCGGATTGAACACTCTCTATTTTTTAAGTGGTGGTGGGGAGTTTGTAGACTAAAGTGAGGAGTCCTGGTGTGGCACTGCAAAGTCAGTTTCAACCACAAGGTCAGTGGTTCAAGCTCACCAGCCACTCTTCGGAAATCCTATACAGGGTTGTTATGAGTCGGGACCAACTTGACGGTACCTAACAGCAGCAAAGAGTAAAAAGTGCACAGTGCAATCTTAATTTTTGTAAAAATGGAGGGGGTGTGATTTTATGAATGTTGGTGTATATTTTAATGCATAGAAAAAGACATGTTTGGTTTGGGTACTACCAACTGCCAGCTAGTCTATTCTGACTCTTAGCACCTCAATGTAGGGTTTCTGAGACTGTAAGTCTTTATGGGAACAGGCAGTCTCATCTTTCATTTGCATAGTGGCTGGTGGTTTAGAACCACTATTCTTGTGATTAGTAGCCCAGCACCTAACTTACAGTGCTGCTAGCGCTTCTTTTGGGCTTCATTGGGATGGAATGTAGGCATAGGGGAGGATTACTCTTTTAGATCTTGTTATTCAAGGAGCCCTGGTAGTGCAGTGGTTAAAGTGCTTGGCTGCTAACTGAAAGGTGATGGCTCCAGCCCATCCATCAGCTGCTCCATGGGGGAGTATTATTTTGCTTCTGTTAAGATTTAAAATACTGATGAAGATCAAAGACCATAGCCTTCTGTAGGGGTTGTGAAGATCAAAGACCATAGCCTTCTGTAGGGGTTGTGAAGATCAAAGACCATTGCCTTCCGTAGAGGTTGCACCTCAATGTAAAGAAAACAAAAGTCTTCACTACTGAACCAATAAGTGGTGGTAGTGGTAAGTGCCATCGAGTCAGTGCCGACCCATAGCGACCCTGTATAGGGTTTCCAAGGAGCGGCTGGTGAGTTTGAACTACCGATCTTGTGGTTCAAACGACTTTGCAGTCCAGCGCATTAGCCCACAGCGCCACACCAGTACTCCTATAAATAGCATCCATATAAATGGAGAAAAGATTGAAGTTGTCAAAGACTTCATTTTGCTTGCATCAACCATCAACACTCATGGAAGCAGCAGTCAAGAAATCAAGTGATGTATTGCATTAGGCAAATTTGCTGTACAAGACCTCTTTAAAGTGCTCAGGAGCAAAGATGTCAATTTGAGGATTAAGGTGCGCTGGACTCAAGCCATGGTATTCTCAGTAACCTCATATGCATGCGAAAGTTGGACAGTGAATTAGGAAGACTGTAGAAGAATGGATGCATTTGAGTTGTGGTGTTGGAGGAGAATATTAAAAGTACCATGGACTGCCAAAAGAACAAACCGATCTGTGTTGGAAGAAGTATAGCTAGAATGCTTCTTGGAAGCCAGGATGGGCAGACTTTGTGTCTCATAGTTTGGACATATTATCAGGAAGTACCAGTCCCTGAAGAAGGATATCATGCATGTTAAAGTGAAGGGTTGGAGAAAAAAAGAGGAAACCCCCCATGAGATGGATTGGCTCAGTGGTAGCAGCAGTGGGCTCAGGCATAGCAATGATTGTGAGGTTAGAGCAGGACCGGCCAGTGTTAAATTCTATTGCGTATAGGATTGCTATGAGTTGGTACCAACTTGAACGGTACCCAACCACAATAGCAAGAAAAGATTTATAGCCTTGGAAACCCTATGGGGCAATTCTGTTGTGTCTTATAGGATCACTATGAGTTGGAATCAACTTGTCTTCAGTGGCTTTTACTTCTGGTATATGATTCATTAAGATAAGCATGAATTGCTTTTGTAATTAAACAAAACGAAAAGAGCCTGTAAGATAAATTTAATGACCAAACCACTTTAGCCCCCTATGTCATCTAATAACACCTTTGGTAAATATGTTTTTGGTTTTTATTCTGACAATACTTCTCAATTGCTTTTGTTCATGGATTATTGCATAATTGTTTAGTTTGATGCCCAAAGGCATAGGTACCTGGTACCTATGACACAAAATATTTTACTCTTTTATACTTTAATTTTAAATTCTTAACCAGAGAATGAATTCTCTGCAATGTACAGTTTAAAAAAAAAATTGTTTTTGATTATGTTTTGTGATTTCATAGCATTCTTTTAGACACTGAAAGTGGTGATCACTTGAGTGCTCCAGCATGCCAGCATATTGAACAATAATTTGTATATCAGAAGTTATGACTGAAAAGGGTTAGTGAACTGATGGACTGTTGGCCCAGATATTTGAACTCTGGGCTGCCCATAGCCTCAGAAACCTTCTATCTGAGTCAGCTCTGAGTCATCCATCTACCTTTCATCCATCTACCCCTAGCATGTCTAGAAATAAGAACTAGAGCCAGTCCCTGCCTTCACAGAGTCCTGCCGAGGGAGTGCTTGCATCTGATGTGAGTACTCGCCTCTAGAGAGCAGTTACAGCCCTTTGTGATTCTCTGCATCTCCAGGCAGCTGAAGCTGAAAGCAGACCCTCTGGTGAGCCTATCCTACTGATTTTATAGTTCTGCATATTGTTGTTACTAAGCACCATTGAGTCGATTCTGACTCATAGTGACTTTATGTTTCCAAGAATAGGCTGGTGGGTTTGAACCGCTGACCTTACAGTTAGCAGGCCAATGCCAGTTCCACACCAGATCTCCATAGATGTGCATAGAATAAGGCGTTTTGGAGCTAGTTGTATAAGGATACATTTTTTTACAAGTGTCAGACACCATATCCAATTTGGTTTAACCAATAAAAGGAGATTTATTCACTTACGTGCCTGGAAGCCCTGAAGTAGTCAGCTTTCAGAGCTGGGTTGATTTTGTGGCTCATTGATGTCACCAAAGGACGTTGTTCCTTTCTGTCCATCTGCTTTGCCTTCATGGCTGTTATCTTTATTCAGAGGTTACCTAGTGGCAAAGCAGCTG